AAAGAATAGTGCACCATCATCTGCAAATAGAAAGGGCTTAGATAGGTTACAGGCATAAATGATGTCATTTATGAAGATACTAAATAATATAGGCCCAATGATGCTTCCTTGTGGTACACCACTCAGAACTTCTAAAAATGAGCTTATTTTGCCATTGATCCTTGTGCATTGATATCTACAAGATAAGAAGTTCTTAAACCAGGTTAAAGCAATGCCACCAATTCCATAATATGCCAATTTTTGAAGCAATATTTCATGATTCACTGTGTCAAAGGCCTTCTTAAGATCAAGAAAGATGATTCCTGGTTTATAAGACTTAGATTTACTCATATATATTTCGTCCATCAGATCGTACATCAAATAAGTTGTGGAGTGATTTTTCCGAAAGCCATATTGATGCCGGATGAAAAATTTGTTCTCTTCCATGTAATCAGTGAGTTGCTTGCCGACAAAGTATTCTATAAGTTTTCCTATAAGTGGAAGGATGGATATTGGCCTGTAATTATTAGGATCATCTTTCATTCCTGCCTTATGGATGGGAGTTACTCTAGCTTTTTTACAAACGGGTTGGTACAACACCTGTATTAAGGCTCAAATTGACAATATGGGTCAGTGGTTCAACTATGTGTGGTACAGCTTGCTTAAGTAAAAATAGAGGCACATCGTCATATGAGGCCTTGTCATTCTTGAGCGTTTCGACATACATTAGGATATCAGTTTCATTTATTTCTTGGAATCTATCAAATGAGATGTTAGAAGTTCTAGGAGGTAAAAAATCAGTAAAACTAACTCTTTCAATATTGGGCGCCTGATTTTGTAATCTTGATCCAACATTTGCAAAATGAAAGTTAAATAGCTCAGGATCATTCTCATTGATAGTTTGACAATTATTTGTACCAGGGGTCATATTTGATGCCAGTTTGATAGTTTTCCATATCCCTTTAAGATCATTCTTGGCACTTTTAACTTGTAGATCATCGATTACATTAGCCTTTTTGCAGGTTTTAGCTAATTTATTTCTAATATTTCTCTGAATCTTGTAGCAATCCCAGGCCTCATTACACTTTATACATTTGCTACATGTACCACATTTATTGCAATTTCCATTGTCTCTCTTATCCTTCTTTTTACGGAATTTCTTTAGAAGAAAATGTGTATGATTAATGGCATTTAAAAGTTCAGTAGAAGGTTTATGTATGAACTTTTCATGCCTTTCTATGGTCTTGCAAGGGAAGAAGGTTGCATATGCCTGTTCAATATGATGACAAAGGCCAGCAGTGATAGCTTCAACATCTGTACTTTCCAATAGTGGACTGTAATCAGAACAGGTATCTAGATAGTCTAAGAATTGTTTAACATTACGTTTACAATGATTTCTAATTTCAACCTTTTCAAATTTAGGAGCTATAGGTACTTTACAATCTATCTCACACATAATAGCTTGATGATCCCCAATACGTTCATCAAGAACAGAAGATTGAACAAAATCTGCATAACAGTTAGTGAATATTACATCAATAGTAGTCTGGGTAAAATTGTCTCCACGTTTAGCAACTCTAGTTATCCCTTGAATGGTTTGAACTAGATTGTAACATCTCAAGGTCATATCTAATTTTTTGTACTGGGTGGATGAGATATTATTCTGGTCAATGTTTATATCCCCAATCCAGATAACCTTTTTCCCATTCAATTTTTTCATGCAAAAATGAATGTACTCAATAAAGTTATCAACACTGCAATAATTTCCAGAGCGATAGAAGCAGCAAACATTGATCTTGCTATTCTTAAGCTTCACCCATAATGCTTCAATGTTATCAAGCTTACTATCCATAACTAATTCTGTGTAAGCTAGTTTTTTGTTTATCATTAAGCCACAACCACCACTAGAACTGTTTGGCCTGTCGCATCGCATAAGGTTGAAGGAGGAAGGAATATTTATGGTGTCTGTGTCAATAGTATCATTAAGATTCATGTCATTTAGGGAAAGTATGTCTAATTTATGATCTCTAATAAGTTGGGAAAGTTCATTACTTTTAGCTAAATTAAGAAGCCCTCCTTGAATGTTACAGTGACCAATGCAGAGGTTGTGAAACCTATCAGCTGCATTATTAAAATTTGTCATCTTGTGAATCTTATTAATTCACAATGGAATGAATAAAAGTTGTAAAGTTGTGTTTAAACTAAAAAACAGAATAAAAGCAGGTTGTATTTGTCTGGATGTCGTAGAGTACCTGCGGTCAGAGTCACAGATCTTGACTTCGCTGACGACCTGGCCTTGACTGCCGATACCATAGAGCAAGTCCAGCAACTGCTCTCGGATTTAGAGACTGCAGCAGCACATGTCGGACTTGCGATGAATGCTTCCAAGACCGAATACATGACCATCAACATTCCTGATGCTGCCCCCGTGAACTCAATATCCGGTTACCAGATCAAGCAGGTCGATGACTTCAAATACTTGGGCTCATATATTGCAGAGAGCAGGAAGGACTTCAACACCAGGAAAGGCATGGCTTGGTCAGCCTGTATCAAACTGCAGAAGGTATGGACCTCTGGCATTTCTGACCAGCTGAAAGTCAAGTTCTTCAGAGCATGCATCGAACCTGTTCTGCTGTATGGCTCAGAAACCTGGACCTTGAACAAGCAGTTTGAGAAGCGTCTCGACGGGTGCTACACCAGGCTCCTAATGAAAGCCAGGAATCTTTCATGGAAGAAGCATCCAACCCTAAAGCAAATCTATGGTGACCTCCCTTCCATCTCCACCATCGTCGCACAGAGACGTGCCAGATTTGCTGGGCATTGCATGAGAGCTTCAGACCAGGTCATCTCTACCATCCTTCCTTGGCGGCTGCCACAGTTCAGGCGTGGGAGGAGACCACTCTCTTTTCTTGACACCGTAGCCAGGGACACAGGGTTGCGGGTAGAAGATCTCCGAACAGTTATGTGCGACAGAACCATCTGGAGACGTAGAGTGGAGGAGATTTCGATCGAGCATCGCCCAAAGTAAAAAAAAAAGTAAGTCGTACTGTAAAAATAAAACTGATGGTAGTCCAGTGTTATGTCAGTATTCAGCAGTATTCTAATGGTGTGCATGATACTTCAAGTGCCTTGCTAGTTTAACTATGCCATAATCATTGAGATGGACATTATCCTCTCCATAACTACTAAAAAATGACGATTTTCTAAAGCCTTTCTTATCACTAAACAAGAAACGATTTGTCTCGGTTGAGAGCAGTTTTACATAGGTGTATTTTCTTTGCAGATTTGATATACATCCATTGATATCTGTTATAACCTTGTTTCTGGAGAAACTCTCCCGAGGTAATAAGTTAACAATTTTAATATCAGCTCCAGGTGCCCACTTGTGAAGGAAAAGTACAAGTTTTTCAATACAATTGTTTGTAAAGTCAAGAGCTCTAGCATCACCAGAAAAACTATCAGGGCACAGAAGTTTAGTCCTCATGTTGCGAGGGCTGTTCAGGATAGAGTCCACGTCATTTGTACCACACATAAGTACAATGCTTTTCACATTATTGGTATTAAGAGTGTCTTTTCTTACATCTGATTGAAACCGTTCATTGATTGCATTGGCTGTGGCACCAGGGTAGCTGAATACATGTGCCTCATGTTGTTTGGACGATAGCTTTTCTCCCTCTAATTTGGAGAACATACTAGAGCTAATGTAGACACACAAAGATTTACCAGAATGTTCTATTGATCTAGTCTTAGGGGCCGAGGGTTCAGTGTTCTTAACTTGACTGGAAACATCAGACAGAGTAGATATGGTTGCGCTGCCATCAATTAGGCGCAGAGTAATGCTTATTCTCATGGTTTCAGACTTGTCCTGGATGAGGCTGTGTTCAAAGCTGGTCTGGGATTGTCTGGTCATATTCATTATGTCACCATGGGAGAGGGTAAGGTCAGCAATATGAGCTCTAAGTTTGGATCTGAAGCTTAGGACTCTAGTAGCCCCTAAAGAGATGGTGGAGATCATGGAGCCTGGTGAAATTGACCTCTCGTCATCCGAGTGAAAGGGAATTCCTTGCTGACCATTTCTATACTTGGTAATCATAGCACTATTGAATTTCAACTTTGGGAACTGTGAGCGTAATCGTTCTAAAATAGACTTTAGGTAGGGATTGTCTGCTACTGGCCTTGACGCCTTGTGTTATGAAAGCCTCCATTGTAAGCGTAGGGAAAGTCCCCATAATATGCAACTGTCCTATTCTCAAAGTCATGAGTATAGTGGGTTTCTATATCTAACTTGGCAGTGTCAACAAACTGAAAAACTCCTCGACTCAAATCTTGGTATGGAATGATAGAGTTGGTCACACCATTGACACCATTTACAGAGTGTTTGGGATTTTCCGAATTGATAATTTCTGCTGAATGTTCACTGTCTTCTGCTAATTTGGATAGCTCTTGGGTTAACTCAGAAACAAGATGCGAGGATGAGCTATTACTGAGGGGAACTTTGATAGAATGTTCACAGTGATCAGGTACCTGGGGCAACACAGAGACAAGTGAACTATTGCTGAGGGGAACTTTGAGTGCACTGTCACTTTCTGATAATTGTTTATAGAGAATAGAAATTTGCCGACGAAGACGATCATTCTCTCTTAATAGAGTTAAACAATTTGAACATTTATCAGTAGGACGAGAGCCATTACTGGGGAATTTAACAGCATTCCCTCGATATCTCAGATTGTAATCTCTTGAGCCAAGTTCTGGTATTCTAGACATAGTTTATCACAAAAAGATGCTACTGTTCGAAATTTAGTTAATGATTACAGTACCTTTGTAGCACTCCGGAGGATAAGGATAAATGATGTCTGATAATCTTTAGGTGATAGATGGGAGTAAACTGCTTTAAAAATCGATGTCTGATAGTCCTTAGGATGTCTTTAAGATAACTTTATCATGCAACAACCATTTACATTGACATACAACCTGTAATGGTCGTTACATTTACCGAGGCATTAGTTCCCACTGGGGGTCCTCAAATTATTTGTTATATAGTAGTGTTGAAAGTTTATCTTTGGACATACAAATTTTATATTTAATTGTAAAACTAATAATGTTATTTATGTTATTACCTGTTCTACCTGTAAAAAACAATATGTTGGAGAAACAACTCAACCACTTCATAAAAGAGTCAATGGCCACAGAAATTGTGTCAAAGCCAAATCATCCACATTTTTATATGAACATTTTAATATTCCTGGTCACGTCTTCTCAGATGCTTCCATACAGATTGTAGATTATGTTGATTCTGACATGTCCACCGATGTCAAAAATGATTTACTTCTCCTGGAGGATTACTGGATAGAGAAGCTTGGGACAGCATTCCCTCTTGGTCTTAATGACAACCGTAGGAAAGTACTTCCCTAAGTTCAACATTATCAACAATATCTAAATTACCAGTAACTACATGTCATTCTTAATGACAAGAAGAAAGGAACGGGCAACATCTCCCAAGATCGGGTTATGAATTATTTTAGTGGACAGATTGCTCGATACAAACGTGGCAGAGGGAATGGAAAGAAGAAAGTTCAGCCTAAGAAGTCTCTCGATACCATAGAGTCTGATATTAACAGGCTGAAAGATAACATCTCTTCAGAACATTCCATATACAAAACATTAAAATGTTATAGCTTATCAGATTTAGACACTCTCTACTCTTTGAGTCAAAATAATTCAGGATTGATTTACAACGTATGTTCCTCTTTCTGTTCAACATTTTCCCCCAAATACCATCAGAACAAATCTGAATCCAGTAATAGAGAATTTATAATTGTTCCATTTAATTGCAAATTCATTGATAATCTTAACCTAAAATCTATTTTCTCTGACACTTCAGTCATTGATTTGCTTCCCATTTTGATTCAGTCTTTTACACCATTACAGATTTATTATGAGTATAATGATCCTAGAAGTCTTTCTATTTGTAACTATGCTTCATTCTTAAAGAAACTTTCTATTTCTGATATTAAATCTATTTTAGGTAGTCCATGCGATTGTCACTCCTCCCCTTTCAATTATCCTCCTCATGGACATGTAGTTACTGGTAATTTAGATATTGTTGATAATGTTGAACTTAGGGAAGTACTTTCCTACGGTTGTAAATACAGAATTCCCACATTTAAATCTCCAGATGAGATATATATGTCAGTTACCGAAGCTGTCGATAAATTTATAAAATCAAAAAGTAGAAAGTACTGTCAAAAAGAAGTAAAGTTCAGCGCTTGGAAGGAAAAAGTGTTATCAATAGTTTCCAATCGTATTGAATATTACAAGAAAAACTTTCCTAAAACATTTGAAATAAAAGAAAACACACTGGAAAAAGATGATGTTAAAAGAAGTCTTAAATTGCTGAAAAGTAAATACATTATTTGTAGTATCGACAAAGCTTCTGGTAATTTTTCATTTATTTGTAAAAAGTTTTATGTAAAAACTCTTGTCAATGAAATGGGTTTTGAACCTAATACTCTAGAATGTATAGGTAATGATACATATAAACCCTGTAGCGAAGACGAGACTCATTATGTCAATAAAATATCTGAGAGTCTAAAGGAGAGATTTAATGTACAAGTTGAAGATAAAAACTTGCGACTAGCACGCATCTTCTGGAACCCTAAGCTTCATAAGAACCCTTACAAGGCGAGGTTCATTGCAGGTGCCCGTTTTTGCGTTACGAAACAATTTAACGTCCAAGTTAACTGTTGTCTGAAACTTTTGAGGAAATACTTCAAGAAATACTGCGAGGCAATCTACAACAACAGCGGTATAAACATGTTTTGGAGCATAGATTCCTCAAGTGAATTCCTTGAAGCTATCAAAAATAGCGATGTTTATAATATACAAGTATATGATTTTACTACTCTTTATACCAGATTAGACTTGATTGAAGTAGAGAATATGATTAATGAAGTTGTTGATTTAATATTTTCAGACCGTAATAGATATATTTGTATTTCTAAAAGAGACAGTAATACATGTTTCTTTTCCAATAAAACCTATGATTCTCATGCCTGCTTTAGTCAAGATGACCTAAAAGAGGCTGTTAAATTTATTATTTATAACACTTATGTCGTCTTCGGTGGGATTGTATTCATACAAACCAAGGGTATTCCTATGGGTGGGAATTCAAGTTCCCCTATAGCTGATCTCACTGTTGGCAAAAAGGAATTTAATTATATGAAACGTTTACTTCAGGAAAAGAAAATGGGATTAGCAAAGATACTATCCAATAATAAACGATATGTTGACGATTTATCTATTATTAACTACCTTTACTTTCATCAATTGATTAAAGATATTTATCCTAATTCATTGGAGATGGAGCGAGCTGGTTCCAATAATAAAATCATTAACTACCTTGATTTAAATATTAATATTTCCACAGAAGGACTAGAAATATCAGTGTACAACAAAACTGATGATTTTAATTTTCATGTTGTATCCCTTACATTTCCTCACAGTAACATCCCAACCGAGGTTGACTACAACGTTTTTTCAAGTCAAGTTCTTAGATATGGTAATGTTTGCACTAGATTGGATATCTTTACCTCCCATCTTCACAAAATATTCAAAATTCTAATTGATAGAGGATATAGCCGTGATAGACTGATTAAAGGCATTAAACGTTGTCTGAGGAAATATGATAACGTTTTCAGGAAGTTCGGTATTCTAGATGACCATAACATTATTAAAGAACTCCCCTGATATCTTTTGATTTATTGAAACACGGGTACTAACTCTGCTAAACTGAACAAATTCTGAAACTTAGGTGAATAAGTGTACAACGTGCTAAACCGAAGTTCAGACTGACCAGTGAAAATGGGCGAGCGTACCAAGTGTCATTTTAATTAGAAGTTTTAGTCAGTGATTTATTATTGAAGCTTGTAATTACAATATCTAATGCTCCTATAAATACTTTAATTAATTGTTTGTTCCGTTATTCTTTTTCCTTCCTCTTTTCCTTGTCATCCCCTTTAGTTTTAAGATTCTTGCTATAAATGGCTACAGCTAACACTATTAATGCTAAGTACCAAACAACAAGTGGGAGGTGGATCGTTGGTATACCATTAAATCGATTTAACACCGCAATTCCAGTCGCAAGCCTGGGACCACTACTAGCATAGTCACAACATCTACAAAGCTGCCATATAGCCTGACTGACAATTTTCTCGACTGACTGACAATGTTTCTTCTTTTTCCCCATTTAGAATACAAAGATTAGTACATTTTAGCTTATGATTAATATTATATTTTTACCTTTTTTTTTTTTTTTTTTTTAAATAAAATATTCAAACAATATACACATAATATAGCAATGACCCTATATAAAAATTCTGTAAAAATGTTACAAATTTAAAAACTGAGGTAAAAATAAAACCCTTTGTAATAAATATATATAAAATCCACTAAATCACATCACAACAAAAAGCAGTTAAAACCCCCATCCAACAAGCACTCCATGACCTTTTAGGGTTTAAGAGTGTTGATCAGGTTAAGGTCCAAATCACTTATTGCCGTGGGTGGAAGGGTTCTGGTACCTCTGTACCCCCTGATAGAGATTATACAGGTTCTGAGTAGATCAAAACGCAGTCTGCGTCTGACAAATGACATCACATCACAATACCGTTGGCCTTTCTTTAGGCTGATCTTTTCAGCGAGATGTTTTAGGAACTGTGAAGCCTCAGTTGCCATTCCTCCTGTAGTACTGAACACCAGTGGCGTGAAGGTCGGTAGCCTTTTCAATATTGAGGACTCTGTCATTGTACTCACGTTTTTTGCTTTTCTCGTGAGATTGGTACATCTGCGAGATGCTCTTGTCACTGTTGGACTGGGCTTGAGGGTGAAGTACCCTTACATCTGTGAATGCCCTGTCTAGCGGCGACCAAAACGATCTCGCACTGATGTCCAGTCTTGCACCATCCTGTCTATTTGTTCCATTAGATAGTTCAAGTGTGTGAGGAACGGAGAGAAGCTGGGGTTCTGTTTCAACGTCTTTGCAAACAGTGGTTAGGAGTTCAGCTATTGTATCTCTTAGTGAATTGTGTCTAAGTGAAACGTAGCCTCCGATTTTGCAGGTTAGATTATGGTTGATATGATTTTGATTTCCACATACACATAGGGGACTTCTGTTAGCTGTAGACAGTGTAAGATTATATCTGAGTGAGAGGGCATCAAAGAATTCTTGTTTGTTAAGGACGTACCCACATGCTTTTAGAGGGAGTGTGGATAACCAAATGGATGCTCCTTTTTCACTAAGGAGTTCTAATTGCCTTTGTGTTGATGGGGATACCTCATTCGTAATAGTTTCTCGTTGGTGTTTGTAAAGCTCTTCCTTACGCTTCTTTACTTCACTTATGATGTCATGCTGCAGTTCTCCGTTTAGTTGGAAAGTAGTAAGCTGTTGAAAAACTGCTTCTGTGAGCTGTTTTGTAGCATTTACTGAGTTAGTGTACTCCATCTCTGCTGTTGATGTGCAGTCTGGAATGCTCAGCCCGCCCATTCTTGCAGGAAGTGAAGCTATTTTTCTGATTTGATCAGGCACAAACCTTTTGCCCATAATGGCTGGTATAAAGTCTTCCTTGACACAATATTCCAAGAGTTTCAGATGGTCGGAAATCCCTGGGGTTGTACGGCAAACAAAATTCCATCTTTTGGAGGTTCCGTAGATGAAAGCGGAGTAGGCTAGCTGGGGTTATATTTTTACCTATAGTTTACCTAGACTAGATTTAGTTTTACTTGACCATTGTTAATGATCTGGCCCGGCGCGCGCTACTTCGTAGCACTTGCCATCGGGCCATTTCGAGAAGAAAGCGGCGCGCGCTACATCGAAGAAATTTAGACAAGTAACATCCGTCAATAGTTTTACGAGACGATCATTGAGTTGAAAACCAAAACTTTCTATTTCTTTTACTTCCGAAGTTAGGTAGGCCCCTACCGGTAAGGTTTTCTGGGAAAGCTTATTAACGTAACGTTGAATACTTTTTAAATATTAGCAATTTGGCGCACGTTTTAGTTAAGTATCGATCGACGGTGTCAATCTTTCGCAGTTCGGCGTGGCCCAATGGTTAATGATGCATCACCAATCGCGTTAATCTAACGAAGCTGTGGTTGCGAACAAATCTGAAATTATTTGATGCACCGCGCGGCCCAATGCCAATAGTGCATCGTTGTATATTACTGGGCCGCGCTCAGCCTGTCATTCCGCCAAATCTTTATTGTGAACATAATAGCCTGGGGTCCTCAGGTAACGTTGTATATTAATTATTGGGGAACTTGCTCTTACCAGAGCCCTCTCGCTTGCAGTAGAGCGCGACCGCCGAAACAAGCGCGTCACGCAGTACGCGTATACACATGGCTATGTCAATTGGGGACCCCATGCTATTATATTTATGTTTATAATTATAGCTGAGGCCGAATAGTGAATAGAGATTTGGCGGAATGAAAGGCTGAGCGCCGCCCAGTAACGTTGTATCACGTCGTGACCCCCATTGTGCCTTTTCGTTTCACTAAGTACCCCTGATTCACGATGTCAATCCTTAGCATCTCGCCGATCTGCGAGAAGCATTATTTGATGCGACCCAGTAGTGCATCGCGCTACAATAAGTACTGTTTATACTTATAGCGCGATGCGTTACTGTGCCGCACCGCGCCCTCAATTATGCTTCTCGCATTCAATTATGCTTCTGGCACTCAATTATGTTGACCATTGTTTATAGTCTGGCCCGGTGCGCGCTACTTCGTAGCACTTGCCATCGGGCATTTCGAGAAGAAAGCGGCGCGCGCTACTTCGATCAAGAAATTTAGACGAGTAACATCCGTCAAGTGCGCGGCGGCTCATACAACGAATGACAAGTACATCGCGCTACATATTTTAATGTTTAGTAAGTTATAAACCAACAAGTAAAACAAAATTTAAAAACACAAACAACAAAGGTTTAAAAAAGTTTTAAATTATGCCAGATCGGAGCAAAAAGAATTTAAATAAAAATAATGAGAATGTTAAATCATAAATGATAAATGATCAATGAAATAAGCTGGTTATCTTTGTATTACGTTGTGACCCTCATTGTCATTTTATACCGCCGTGCACTTATCACTTATGCGCGGCGGTCCTACACGACGTGAGGCAAAGTTACATGAATAACACTTTTGCGAATTACAACGATGCATGGGACAGGAAAGGTAATTGTTTAATTCTGCGTGCCGCAGTGTTTTATAATTATTTGTGTTGTACGTTGTAAACTTACTTTATCTCGAGCGCAGCTGGCAGTGCAATCTTTTATCAATTTGGGCTATATAATAGAATGATGTGTAATGGGAGAAAAGTGGGTTACAACTTTATCAACTGTTTCAAGCTCGTATGTCGTATACGATCTGCAGATTGTCATGACGTCACCTATTTGCTATTACAGATAAACTCCCATTTGCTACATAATTGACGGATGATACCCGTCTTAATTTCTTCAAAGTAGCGCGTGCAGCTTTCATCTCGAAATATGGGCGCGAGGCAAAGTGCTATGAGTACTAAGTAGCTTTGTATTCAGTATTTTTAATCATTCATCAACTGCAGACTTGTTCAAATCTATAACAAAAAGCATTGTTGATGCGAGGAATTTTAGAGTTCAATCTTCGTCTCAGGTTTTCTTTGGGGCTATTTTCAACACGGACAAATATTTACGAGTATCAACCATTAACTTGATTCTATCGACTTTGTTTTATGTAATCCCGACAATAAATTGTAAATTGATATGGTTTGGTTGTATTTGTGTTGGAAAAATGTTACCAAATTTTGAATCGTCATACCTTGAATCGTATTATTATCATTCATCAACTGCAAACTTGTTCAAATCTACAACAAAAAGCATTTTTGATGCAAGGAATTTTTTTGCAATTAACCAGATGGTTAACCAGATGCAAGTTAACAAAGATTGCTGTACTAGTAACAGCAAATGTTTCTCAGGGTTTATTTGCTTGTGATTGCAAAAAAATTTCTTGCATGTAAAATAGTAAAACAAGTAAAACAAATTTTATTTTATACCCACAATCAATTCATATTTAGTTCAAATATTTAAAGTCAAGATTACCATGTCACAGAAATGGTTTCATTATAATAAAATAATTTGTGATACGTGTTCAAGTGATAAATTAATAAATTAATTTACACTGATAACAGATAAATGTACAAAATATACACAAATTTACCTTGCAACACTGGCTCAGCGCGCGGCTGATCGAAAAAGTTTGGTTTGCATTTACTAACTACAATGTACAGCGTACGCGTACATGAAAAGATAACTCACTGAATTGTTTAATACTAAATGCATATTAAGTCAGATGTTGTTCAATGAGTTAGCCACGAAAATGTTCAAATTGTGTAGGAGGGTAAAGGACACAATTGCTAATAATGCTTCTTTGTGCCCGTTGACTACAATGAACATTTCGCGGAGTTCCTCCAGACGGCTTTTGTCAGAGAGCGTGTTATTTACTACGCTATGCAAAAGCCAGGCAACATTTTGTTTTGTGTCAGCCGCGCTACCAGGTTGCAGAGCATGATAAATACTTTTCTTCTTTAAAAATCATACAAATTTGCTAATATCAGAGTCCAATCTAGCTGCAAACGTTAGACACCACAGTTCAGCCAAGTACTGTGTAAGTGAACACGTGGGTTTAGGTGTCATTTTGTAAATCACTTGATGGATGGATAATTCGGTAATTGTTGTAGAAAATTACAGTCACTGCCTCATATTTAAACGTTATGTCACGGCCAAGAGTAAACGTACGTGCGCGCTTTAGAAACCCGTGCAAATGTTGAAGTAGTGAGTAAATGCTTTTTGTTAAGATGTAGTTGAAGTGGTTACTGGGTCCACAGAGCTGAGAGACTATGCACAGGAGTCGTATGCGCTCTCAAAGCACCAGTCTATAATCTATCTGGACATTGAGTATTCTCATTTCTCAACTTGTGAGATTGGAATTCCCATCTGGTGTTTTTATTGGTTGGAAGAAGAAGTTTTGGTTCCAACTAAGAGCAGCACGCAGAAAGCATTTATCAGAAGAGTTGAATTTATCTGGGGACTAAATGAATTTTTGCAGGATCTAGCTAACTAGAGAGTTGAGAACCAAATTTAGGTGAATAGTTTCATCTGGTATTATTTAGTTGTCAACCTTGAATCGCAGCGTTGCAACCTCCTATATAAGAAAACATCTAAGTAACTAGACTGTTCACTCTTGGCACATATCTGAAAGGAGGATGACAACATTTTAAAGAGGGAAGATCTCTGGACCCCAAAATCCACCACTCTGCCAGGTACTTTAAGATGCAATGTGGCAGGAAATCAGGACTCTTGCTTCCACTGAGCTGAAGCATCCTAACACTTCCTGAAGCAGCCCAACATTATGTCGTCACACACTAGTGTTGGGATGTGTACCTATACGCGGGTCAATAAAGCGGTCAAGCTTTGTGTATGTTATGTTGAGAACTGTTAACCAACAAATGTGGCAACTCCCTCAACGAAAGACCTCAAATTGATTGATTTAAAAAAAAATTTGTTTCACTATAAGCTATTTTAGATTTAATAATAATCAAAGTGACTTAAATAACTATTTCTCGTCGTTTCTTTAGCCATGGCATCGGTTGATTTTCTAAAGCAGTTTGATCCTGATCATTCTATGTCAATGCTGGAAAAAGATGAAACAGGTAAGATTCTTTATTAGGTATTATTAGCTCCTCCTTACTTTCCGTTGGCTCCTTTTAAAACCAATTGGTATCTCTTTTGTCTGATTCCCAATGTTGGACCAGAAAGCAGTAATAATAGACTCTGATTGCTTGCTAAATGATGACACTTGTTTTACTAATTACATGACAAACAATGATATTTAATAAACCAATACTTTCAGCACTGTGGGATGATCCCTTCAATCTAGATTTTGAAGAGGATCTGCTAAAGGAACTTAACACTTTGCCTGGTCTCTACGACCACTCAGATGTAACCCTGGGTCTCGACCTCATGGAGGATCCCTTGCTCATGAATACCCCAACAACTGGTAAGATTATAACTTTCATTTGTTTGAACTTAGAGATAATTGATATTCAGAATTTAGATTGCACTCTCGATAATATTCAATAATTCTTCCTGACCATGATAAGCTTATCATTTTATCATTTTTCAGTTTCTGATGACAGTAAAGAATTGGATGTCGGCCAGGTCAGTTCAGTTTTTGAGAATTATTTGGTTTGTAATACAGTTAAACTGATTGGCAGGAACCAATCAGTTTAACTGGACTTAGGAGTTATAGACTGGACTTAGGGCTGGACAAATCGCTGTCATGTGTGAAAATAGATTGAAGAAATTTCCCCACCAGTATCCTAGTCTGAAGCTTGTTAAAACAATTGAATTATCTGGAATTGTACACATTATGTAAATGTTTCAATCTGAATACATTGCATTGTATTGCATTATAAGATATGTAATATAGCCATATTTTCAATAAGCAGTAGATGCAAGTTAATGACGACTGATCTAGATCGATACATCTACATTCTACATGCTGTATCTACATCATATTATAAATGGAAGCCCTCATTTAAGATTTCCAGTATCACACTCGCACCTCTCATATACTTGTCAATTTTCAGTGTTAATGAAACCCAATATTTAGTGTGTGTAACAGCTGAAGCTAAAGTTCGAAACCCACCACACCTGTTTAATACCGCTGCAGAACTAGATTATCACAAGTTCGAACTCAACAAATAAGGGGCACCTTGCAAGTCACGTGAACAGAGTTGTCCAATCAGAGTCCGATCTCTACATCACGTGATATCACATGTTATATTGTTCTGCACTCTGTGAATACAGACCGTCTAAGTAATTAAGTTGGAGCTTGGAGTATTGTGTCCTCTCTCTCCAGACCTTCTGTACTGAGAAAGAGTAAAACAGTCTTTACTATCATAGGATTACTGCTGTTCAGTGTAAGTCAAATAATTGGTCTCTGTAACTAACTACCTGGTCTACAGTATACACCATGTTTATTTCACACAATCACAAACCATTTAAAATCTGAGTAGAGTGCACGGTGCAATTAGTTCGGTTTTCACATAGTGGTAGCTAACGGCTTTTGTAAAAGCTGCGGTTCTACAGAAAATAAGACTCGTGCAGAGATCCAGTATGGTAAATTTCCGTGAATGTACTCTTTTTGATGATGAGAATTAGTTAACAGATCAGCGTAATGTACATATCAGGAGCCAGTACTAGCCAGTAGTATCAGGAGCCAGTACTAGCCAGTAGTATCAGGAGCCAGTACTAGCCAGTAGAATGAGGAGCCAGTATAGTACTAGCCAGTAGTATCAGGAGCCAGTACTAGCCAGTAGTATCAGGAGCCAGTACTAGCCAGTAGTAGCAGGAGCCAGTACTAGCCAGTAGTATCAGGAGCCAGTACTAGCCAGTAGTATGAGGAGCCAGTACTAGCCAGTTTTAGCAGGAGCCAGTACTAGCCAGTAGTATGAGGAGCCAGTACTAGCCAGTTTTAGCAGGAGCCAGTACTAGCCAGTAGTATGAGGAGCCAGTACTAGCCAGTAGTATGAGGAGCCAGTACTAGCCAGTAGTATCAGGAGCCAGTACTAGTCAGTAGTATGAGGAGCCAGTACTAGCCAGTAGCCAGTAGTATCAGGAGCCAGTACTAGCCAGTAGTATCAGGAGCCAGTACTAGCCAGTAGTATCAGGAGCCAGTACTAGCCAGTAGTATGAGGAGCCAGTACTAGCCAGTAGTATCAGGAGCCAGTACTAGTCAGTAGTATGAGGAGCCAGTACTAGCCAGTAGCCAGTAGTATCAGGAGCCAGTACTAGCAAGTAGTATCAGGAGCCAGTACTAGCCAGTAGTATCAGGAGCCAGTACTAGCCAGTAGTATGAGGAGCCAGTACTAGCCAGTAGTATGAGGAGCCAGTACTAGCCAGTAGTATCAGGAGCCAGTACTAGTCAGTAGTATGAGGAGCCAGTACTAGCCAGTAGCCAGTAGTATGAGGAGCCAGTACTAGCCAGTAGTATCAGGAGCCAGTACTAGCCAGTAGTAGTATGATGAGCCAGTACTAGCCAGTAGTATCAGGAGCCAGTACTAGCCAGTAGTATCAGGAGCCAGTACTAGCCAGTAGTATAAGGAGCCAGTACTAGCCACTAGTCAGTACTGCACAGTGGCCAGTATCCGGTGCTCAGTGCAGTGGTCTGACCTTGTCCTGACACGCTAACCAAACATTGTTACACTCAGAAGATCCTGGACCAAACCACTACACACAGTGTACTGTTTGTGTGTGGTAGTCTCAATGTGGGAAGTGGTGTTGCCTCAATATTCAAGCGCGGGAAGCTTTCAAATCATATTATTTGTTTGACTTGGATGTAATATGTGTGTAGTAATCATATCAATTGATGTATCGAGGAAAGCAGATTGCAGGATTCTTGCTGCACATTTCTACACATTACTACTTTATTACACTGTCACAAGTCACATATTTTTTAATAAATTTGAAATTTTGACCTACAGAGTGATCACAATTATACTCGTGAGCTTGAGGACTGGGGTCGTGATGTTATCCGATTCTTACAGCTGCACTTTAAGTTTGAGTGACATATAAATAACATAACTTTATATTATATAGAAGTGTTTTTAATCTAAAATATTTCATTAAATATATTAGTGCATTGATATTTAAACTGTTGTGATATTAAGACAGAAAAAAATGAATGCTAGATTTCTGTCCACAATCATGTACAGAAGTTTTCAAACCTGTTGCCGTTTAAACAGTTTCTTTCCCACAGTAGTAAATTAGCCGCCAACTGAATCTGCCCAAATAACAACTCTTTTCCTTACTTGTTAATGGTGGCCATGCTTGCAAATAATACAACAGAAAAGTGGAACGCATTAGCTGAATATTGCTTTTATTACGACGTCTCACATGCTGAATTATACATTTTCTCTGATCAACATGCATTTTATCTCTCTCCATCCCCACTCAACAATACAGTTTCGTTACACATTTAAAATTCGTCACATTTAGTCTACTTACTACTTGATAAATACGTCAAGCCTTTTTAAAACTAGATATAAAACCACAAACAATTAAGATCACGTCCGTCCATTTCGTAATAATCAAAACCATTACAAATTGAGTTATTTAACAAACTTATTTCAGCCGGCAGAAGAAGCCCCCAAACCTATGACGATTAAAAAAGAGGAATTGTCGCCTCCTCACCCCTTCATAAAGTTGGAACCTCCGACTACCCCAGAGAACAAGGTCCTGTGTAAGAACGAGTCCCCTAAAACCTCTCCCGGACGGTTATTCGGCAAGAAACTTCCAGTTTCAGAGGAGACCGCTCAGTCAGAGGTGAGATACATGTTACTTGTTTATTGTATTACAGTTTTTGGGGTTTGTAGTTCACAATAACTGATCATTTAAATTGAAAAGCTCACTAGAATCAAGTGATAAAGAGTATTTAAGGTCTTGTGAAGTTTTTGGAAAAATACTTTATGCTTCGTTTCTCAATTATCGTCAAGCTGTTATAGTCGAGTAAAGAACTTGAATAAAATTGAAGTCTTAGATTAAAGGGCGTGTTAAACTACAATGTACATTGCTTCTGCACTGTCTATCCCTAACATAATATAATTTTCACAGGAAGTCAAGATAGATCTCAACACCAAACTTGACATATACCAACATGATGCCTGTGTCACTAAATCCGTGACCACCCTCATGGTGAAGAAGATTCCCAAGATAATCAAGGTCCCGGTAGGAAACAAGTTGTATCGAACACCCAATGGAAATGCAGTGTTCGTTACCCGTGATGGTCACGTGACTCTGACTAACCAGTCAAATCTAAAGGAGAATCAGATCAAGTTTGTTAACGTGGACACTACCAAGAGGTTAGTTGGTGTGAAACTTAGAAGTTTCTCTTCGTTCTAGGGCATTTTTAAGAGTTTGGTAGTTTCGTTCTAAAAATGTAACGGGCTTATTAATATTATCTAGGACTAGAATTCTAATTAGAAAATCTCAGGACTCAATCCCAAGAGAAGAAAGCGCCCTCTCCTCCAGTCAATAAAACCTCACCCGCCCTCACCAAAACCTCGCAACACCTCCGTACAATCTCTTCCAACGTCCGAACTTCCTCACCAAACCTCAAATCCAGCCCTCCAAAATCCATACCTTCAGTGATGAACACGTCGTCAGCCTCCCCGGTTAAACGACAGATTGTGACTCCTAAGGTTCTGGTAAAGCAGGAGATAGTGGCTGGAGATGATGCTTTCCAGTTTGAGAATAAGAAGCGGAAATTGGAGCATGAAGTCTCCCAGAAGAGACCAAGGTAATTAGACTTTAACACGGGTAATTACGATAAAGGGGCAAAAGTAGGACTTTCGTTTCCTTTACCCGTGAGAATTGTGAGAATTTTAATCAAGCCAATCCTTATCTTCATGAGCTTTAATAAAAGTTGAAACAGTCGAGAAGATTCAATATTATTCCAATTTTTATTCTTCCTAAAATACCTGTAGTTATTCCTAAAATGACCAAATCCCAACAATCTAACTATCGAATAATAAATATTCTGCTAGATCGGAGACAGTGCTGAACATCTGCAAACACTCCCAAGAAAGAGTGTGCAAGAAAAATACCGATACCCCCACCTCACAAAATAATCATTACATTGAACCAGACAAGTGGAAGCACGATAATAACGGGTATGGTATTTTGCTGAATTTTTTTCCCTACTCTTGCCGAAGGCAAAAAGATCGTAGGGAATAAGTAATCGGGTTTGGATATATGAGGTGGCCCGATGGACCTGCGATGATGACAAAAGTCTACTCCTTCGCAATATAGACCACTCCCCTAAAATTAAGTGTATAGGAAGTGTCTGTTATGCTGCGCGCGACGCTAGCCATGTGTTAATTAATTACAGTGAAATTCCTCCTTCGCAAAGTTATTTTCCGCAATTTTCTGGATCCTTTTTTTTGTTTTTGATGCGTGGCGCTGCATTGGTCAAATAAATCGTTAATTTTTACCATGCACGAATCCCACTCATTTATAAAAAACATAGTATGTAAATATGGTGTACTTTTTTCCAGTCACACTTTTCACTCAAAAGAATTAATGGTACAAGTACATCGTAGGGAAAATTGATCGTGCGTGGTTTAACCGCGGCGAAATTCTTGTTTGTTAGGTTTTTAGGTTAAAACTGAAATCTGATTTCAGTTTTAACCTGAGTGAAATCTCGTGAACTTAAAACATAAATGTGTTTTAATCTTTCATCCCACACCTTTACTTCGTCTTAAACGGAAGTTTAACTTATCTACAATTAATTTTATCCAGGTATAATCAAGACTCAGTAGTTTTTAAAGTCAGCCAAAGAAAACACTCCTCGTCTTCAGAGAGCAGCCAGTTCGACTCTATGCCCGGTAAGAAATCTCACTTAGGTGCCCTATTTGGCACCATCGCCCTCGGGCCGTAATTAATATATATCTATTTATAATTATAAATTAGACACCTTTCACAATACTACCTCCCTTTCATGTTTTCATAGAATTCTCATAAAATTCATGGTAATTGATTGCCCTTTCACCTTATTGCTGGGTCTCCGAGCACACTAACAATTGCGACACAATTTCTGACTATTGTGTAAGCTTTAAACCCCGTATTATATACAAGTCAAGCGTACCTGCACAGTCCACAATTGAGGGACTGGGGCCTCTAACTATAATTAGAACAGCTGTTATTATTATGTACTATAAATATTCGGTCTAAGCGCTCTCCCGGTCTAAGCGCTCTGTCTGTGGGTGTTAAAGAGCCTGCTTATAATGGGGGTGGGGGCCACTTTGTTACGTAATGCACTTAGTAGGACTGTAAATGAAAATGTATAAGAGTGGTGTAAGGATGAAAATTCCTTTTATATTTGACCGGTGTCGTAAATATACCACCTCTTAGTAGCCTCAAATACGTTACCTTGCTGTTTAAATTTCATGTTAAATTACCTGACCTGTTGTGTCTAAAACAATTTTCTAAATTACGGTGCACCGTCTCTGAAAACATTTGCGTTCTTTGACTGATCCATATTATTCACAATGCATGGGTACACTCTACATGTATCTCGGCCTACATTTGGAATATAATAGATCGATGCCAATTTTTGGTCACACTTTAATTCAATTAACAAGTCTGGAATCGATTTTGAATTTGATCCAAATCGTGCAGAAACATGCGACCTCGTTATAAATTATTTAATTAGAGAAACCAGGCGGCAGGGCGCCTGTTATCATAACGGGAACGTGTGAATGTGAATGTGAGTGTGGGTGTAATGAGTACCGGGGGTTTAAGTGTAATCTGAACTGGTTATCTGATAGGGTGTTCTCTTTCAGAAATAGCAGAGTACTCCAGTTACGCTAAGTTTATCAGCTTGAAGGAGCCTGACCGTCGCAGGGTAAGTTGAGATGTTATCTGGTCTCTGGATGTTATCTAGTTACTATCTTAGTATTAGATATCATGCTATTTCCACTGTCAGTGATTTAACAATATTCTCTAGGTTCTAGCTTGCCTAATTTCCTAGAATCAGCCTAAAGTTTCTTGGAAGATCTCTCTTATCGACACATTTCTACTTCTCTACAATGAAAAATTCTGTTATACTGCACCTAGACCTTTTAAACTTTAATGATATCCGGTACATTCACTACATAACGCGATTAATAACTTGATTAGTAACTGTAACAGGCGGGAAGACAAAGTGTCCCAGTACCAGCACATCTCAAGACAGAGTCTGAGATAAAGACCTGGAAGAGACAGCAGAGAATGATAAAGAACAGGGAGAGTGCTTGTCTTTCCCGGAAACGGAAAAAGGAGGTGGGTTGGTTGTGATTATATTAGTTAATTTGAGAAAACTTATCTTCTAGGTTTTAAATTCTTATTGTACCCATCCACTGTGAGTGTGGATCTTGCTTAGAAATTTAATTCCGAGAAGTAGGCTAAATTGTTGGGTCAGACGTACAAATTTTCAAGCAGTTGCGTCATCGTAAAATCTTTTAAATATATGGAGGTTTGCCGCCACAATCTTTGTCGAAATCTATTAAAAGATCGCCTGTTACTTGAATTTCAGCCAGCATAATTATAGCATAATGATAATGCACACCACGCACAAACGAATAGCTATCAAGCATCATGGTTGTACGTCTTGTGCAATCGCGTGTTATTTCGACTGAATTTATTTTAACTAAGATAAACTTATCTTTTAAAAACTTACTCTGATATAATTCGTCGAAGTTATACAATATACATATTTAACCACCGTTATCTTTTAAATTTTGCCGCACAGATTGCGTCAATTGAACTGAGGTACAATTGTTCTAAGAGTTGTTATAACAAAAGACGTACAGGCCAATATTTCTCTCAATAGTTTTCTCAATAGCGTCGGAGGGCGCTTTGTTTTACACACCGTGTAATATAGCGTAATATATAGTGTAATATAGCGGAGTCTTTTGAACGCTGCTTCCTGCCTTACATTATTTAAATGTGTTGTGCAATGTGTGCCGCCGTTCAAATGTCTTATTATATTTATATTAATACACATTATAATTTATCTATGCTCATACTTTGGAAGTTATACATTATATTAAATTCATTATTAATTAATAATTCTCATTATTATATCTCACGGAACCGGTAACCTAAGGTAAGCCAATACATCCTCATTCCTAACTCATTCCAGTTAAATTACACCTTACTGTACAATATAAAAGTAATTGTGACCGCATCAACAGAACACTGACTGTTTCCTGTGTGACTGCACTTTGACAGTTTTCCACACATGAAACACAATCTGGCAGCTTTCTCATGATGCGGCGCTTTACATGAACAATATCTGTGTGTTTAGACAAAAACCAGAGAGACCAGTGTGCTCATTACACACGGAATAATACCAATGGTTACTGTCCACATCGTGTGGTGTGGTGTGCGTTAGTTTTATAAAGGAGCTCAAAACAAAGGAACATGTGTATAATACACACCTGGGACCGGCCTGAACTAAGGAGTATATTGAGTCAGTGTGAGATTAATTAGCAGACACTGGGTACTCTGCAGAAGGCTGCGCCCGATACATTATACAATAAATACTGCAGTTTTATTGGCTGCTATTTATTATTCAATAATTCCATAAATAGATCATTACTTTTATTGATTTGTGTGATGTGAATTGTGAGAACACTTTATTGGCCCTTATTTTGCCATACCTAAATAACATTAAGTATGTATAAGTTAAGCGGTAAGTAATAATTATGGTGATGTTTAGTGAAATTATAATTATAAGCAAACGTTTAAACGGCCGTAAACAACTTGACCAGAGATTAATTTCGTGGCTTTTATTCTGAAGGCTCTAATTATTGCCATTAAGGTCCCTCTGTGACCAAATTAAGTTCGTCAGAATCAAGGCCGATGAAGTTAACTTAACCCTAAGGATCAACACTCAGGTAATATTGCAACCCACCGCTTAAAATGTAGGATCTGTTGATATAAATTGATCGCGTATTTATGGTTCAGTAACTGTCAGTACTCGGAAACAAGGTTTAAAGTGTACACGTTATGTTTCCTAAATTTCATGTGTCGAATTTCAAATTCGTGGTGAGAGATGATATAATGGTTATAATAAACACCTTGCCCAAAAAGTTGAAGTTGCAATATACTATTGTAAGAGTCTGTACTAAATTATATGACTGAATTCTGGAAATATTTCGACGCACTGAGTAGATATGCGATGCTAAATATTTGTATGGTTGTAATTATCGTGCCTGCTACCCTTCGCTAATTCTACAAATCGAAGTATGACAGTCAATCTCTGATTAACCGATACCAGTATTCAAGAGTAATAACCGGTCGGTTTACATGTCTCTGTGCAACCACAAAGATTGGGGCCTGTATTAGAACACATAATACTGCGTATTCTGGGAATTCTGTACTATTGGTTTTGGGTTAGGTTTAACAGCCTGGGTGTTGGCTTTCATCGTAACATCCCGTCCCACATATAGACATACCCCGCTGTCCCGGTATAACTGCAGTCTGTGCTGTGTAATCTGTGCAGTCTGTGTACCTAAAATAATATATGTGTATCAAGAATGTGTTTACCTAGACTGTGTGCTTAACTATTCTTTACCCTCAGTATTTACAAAGCGTAGAGACGAAGCTAGCTATCTCCTCTGAACAAAACATACAAATTCTGAGGGATAATGACGATTTACGGAAACAGAACGGCTCCCTCAAGAACGAGGTTTGTAATCTTGGAATTTCTTGTTTAAGAATTTTCCCTGTTAAGGGGGCAGGGGGGGGTCTTTATGAAATTTCTCTCGAAATTGATTTTATAGTTGTTTCTGATAGAGGGGAGTGATATCTACCAGATATTTTTGGTCCCATGGAAAAATTTTGTTCCTAGCCGAAATTATTGCCGGTCAAAGGTCAGCGCTCATGTGTAATTGTATTGCGCGAGCGATTTTCAATCGCGCGCCCTGAAAATCGAGTCTAAAAATCTATCTCCTCCTACATTTTTTGAGCAATCACCTTGAAACTTTCAGGATATGTTCTAAGGACCATTTAGAAACTTTTACTCTTTTTAGAATTTCGAGATAGGCCTTTAAAAAATTTTTATTCGATTTTGAAAATCTTGGACCTCGTTTTTTGACGATTTTTTCAGGTCCAAGATTTTCAAAATCGAATAAAAATTTTTTAAAGGCCTATCTCGAAATTCTAAAAAGAGTAAAAGTTTCTAAATGGTCCTTAGAACATATCCTGAAAGTTTCAAGGTGATTGCTCAAAAAATGTAGGAGGAGATAGATTTTTAGACTCGATTTTCAGGGCGCGCGATTGAAAATCGCTCGCGCAATACAATTACACATGAGCGCTGACCTTTGACCGGCAATAATTTCGGCTAGAAACAAAATTTTTCCATGGGACCAAAAGTAGCAGATAGATATCACTCCCCTCTATTAGAAACAACTATAAAATCAATTTTGAGAGAAATTTCATAAAGACCCCCCCCTGCCCCCTTAAGAATGTACCATGTTTAAGGGTTATAATTATATAAGTAAATAACATCAGAATGCTCAGGGCGGGGCTTCACTTGATAATAGGTAGTTTTGAAGTAATGCCGCTAAATCACATAACCCACTCAACATATGTGATATTCACCCTAACTTCTCCCTCCCCAGAACACGCTACTCCGTGAAGCGCTAGACAGGCTGAACTCAGTGCTGGGAAACCTAACCTCCACCACCGACCTGGGCAAACTGGAGGAGCTGGATCCGGCCAATGTTCCACCACATTCCAAGAGTGACGAGAAGGGCACGTGCACTACCTCCCCCCGGTTTAAGGGCACCGCTCTCATGATGTTCTTCATGTTCGTCTTCGCTCTATCTCTGGGACCCTTCAGGTATGTCATGTTTAATAGCTCTCGCATTATACAGGAGTTGAGATATTGTGTGGTTTCAGTTAACAGTTTTCGCTTGAGTTCTCGTGCATGGTCTATTTGTATGTAGCACTACCCCTACTAAAAAGTACAAAGTTAGAACCCCTCAAACTGCGTCGTGTCTGTCTCATCAAGATTTAGTTTTTAGTTCACATCTCGTTTAAATATTAACTTCTCATATACAGCAAATCCTAACGTTCTTAACACAAACACAGGAAGTTTGCAGAGGTATCTTAGATATACAGGGCCAAATGTCTACATACCATTCAACATGAAGTCTGCAATGTGAAGGGTTACAGATTAAATCAAGCTTATAATTAGACAAAGCCCGATTCTTTGCAAATATTTTTGAAGCTTAGACAAATATTCCTGCTCTCGGTGTGTAATTCAAAGCGCCCTTTGCGTCCCCTTGCATATATATCCCACATTTATCACACGGTACGTAGACTCATATTTCTCCCGGAGTGTAGGTAATCCGATTTTAGGACTTGATCATGGCCAAATAAAACGCAAATATAATCGTTTACACCGTTAATTTGTTTATCTTTCACTTCCCTAACTCAATTACACCTGGATCAAGATGTCCGTGATATGGTACGTGATATCACACAGCTTCAAGCTGGGTCACATTATCCATTATGTTAGCTCCCTTATATAATGTTCACACGGGATATTTGATATAAGACTAACAATCTAACATACTACTGTAATAACCCACTTTATCATGAAATATGAACCATACATATACGGAGATTAGGTGGGCCGTTTACAGGAAATCGATGTCTTAAGCCGCATGTAGTGTGGCTTTATGGTCCTTCTATCTTTAGTGTGATAAGGGATTCTTTTTAATTAGCTTGTTACGATGAATTATGGGTTAATCTTTATATCAACCTGTTCAGGCGCCATTCTAATGAATTTTTTGAAGTTGCGAAAGAGAAATAATATGTTCCTTATCTGAAAAGGAACTCAGGAAATCGAATTATCCATTAATTGGCCTAAAGGTGGACTGAACTGAAGTTCAAATTACTCCTCGCGCACTCCGAATAGCCGTGAAGTAACCATATTATATTTTACTCAATCGGGTGGTGGATTTATGTCATTTCATATGAATAATTATGATAAAATATAATAGTTGATGCTGAGAAGGGAATGGGAACCTAAAACAGTTTGTAGCCTCCTTGGTGAACAGGGATATCATTTAGTTAGAGTACTTAAAGAGCTATGTCAAATTATAATGGTAAATATAAATATACTTTGAGGGTAGTCTAATATTATAAATCTACTTTGAGGGGTAGTCTAATATTTAAAAGTTAGGTTAAATCTAGGCGACATTATTTCATGAGTTCTCTTTGAACTATCAGTCGTCCAATCAGCGAAGGTTCCGTCCAAGAAGCTGTGAACTTGCTTCCTTTGTTGTTTCAACACTTAAGGGACACCTTACTTTAATATGTTCAATCACCAATATCCGAATATCCGATAGGACCGAGGTTGTTGCGCAAACTTGGCAACTAATCAGTCGCATTAATGTTATTTTATCTTTCAGTACTAGTAAAATTCGACTGAAATATCGTAAAAAGTACGCGTAGTAGTTGTCAGCCAAGTGCGCGTTACGCGCGCGCGCGCGCGTGGATATATATTTCCCATGTTATGGCTAGCTAAATAAGCATAAAATACCGATAACTTCAGCAGTGTACAACAAACAACAACAAGCGAGTGGCCCTTGACTTCCAATTTAATCATTAGCTGCTTGACCGGATATTTTTATCAATACATTTTGTCATACATACATACATACATTTTTTCATACATATTTTCATCAATACAATCAATACAATCCAACTTAACAGTTTCAATAATTTCAGTTTGTTTCAAAGTTCAGCGGGGCTGCCGAAGTACCACCAGCAGAGCTTCAATAGCAGAACGTTATTATCAACAGACCAGTACAGCTTACGAAAGGACACAGCTTCGTACAGCAACTATGTCGACCCAAGTATCGATACCCTTAATAATTACTTAAAAGGGAGGCATAAGACTGTGGAAGTTGGGTTCAACGCAGCTCCAGACAAGCAGTATATCGTCTCTGGTAAGTTGACTAATACATTTTATTCAAATTTCTATTTGTCTTAGCCCGTAGGAATTATCTTTACCAAATCGTATCTTACTTCAAATTTCTGTTCAGACCTATGTCTAATAACTCTAGCTTCATTTCTATTGTAAAAAGGCGTCTGATCACACTATTCATTGAGCTATCATTGACACATTATTTGGACAGGTTATAACAATTTCTACGTGCCGGCTACTGTAGAAAGTGATAGCAGTAGAGTTTCTGTCATCCTACCCCTCCATCGAGGTATGTGCTAGTTTTAACAATAACTAATATTTTAATAAGTTCATTATCATTTTATTCATTACCAATTTATGTTGTTAAATCTTTAAATTATCATTAGTTATTATTAACTCCTAATTGTACGGTACTGACTACCTATACTCCTCAGCCCTCAGCTTCAGTTCATATAAATAACCGTGTTTTATCTCAGATTCCTCCTCTCTGGTAGAGATGGTATGCGATGTAGTGGAGGCTAACAACATCACCCGTACCCTGCAGTGAACCTTCGCTGAAGTAACTCCCTCGCTCCCTTCCCCGTTATCTTAACTTAGATGCATGCATGAACTCTCTGTGGGATTGATTAACGTTACGTTTCAGATTAAAAACAGTTAAAATGATTTGTGTTACAAATTGTATGATATATTAATATAGACTATTCACGTAATGATTGGGTAATACATCTTTGATATTCCTGCTGAAGGGATGTCACTAAATTATGAGTATGACTTTTTGTAGCTTGGCTTCGTCTGCCTGTTTAGAGGTAATGACGATGAATGACGGAAAAATAAGTATCTAGAAAATGATACGTGGATCGTATTATTCTCCATTTTTCGTTGATTTAATAATCTTGTTAAGCTTGATTTTTAATTGTGAAAACAATTAATACGATTTAAATACATTGTCGGTTAAACAATTTCAGCTGTTGAGATTTCATTTCAGCTTGCTCGTAATAATCGATTATTAATTTCCTTGTTTGTATAAAAATCCTGTATATAATGAGCACTATCGCTTGTTGCATAACTTGATATAACTTCCGTTACTGATCCATAACATGGTTAAAGTTTTGCCTTTGTAGAATATAATATATCCAGTTAATGTTTAACTTATACCTCCCTTAATACTAAATTCCAAGTCAACCTATCATTGACATTAGGACTGCAGAATATTCAAACTCTCGGAATTTCACTTTTAACTTTAATATGTTTATACTAATAATCTTGTTAGCTAGTTATACACACAATGGAACATATAGTAAATTATGGATAACGCTTTGTTAACATATTAGTATGATAAAGTAATAGTTTTGCTGATTAAAGTTTTACCTCTTGACCACTTCTTGCGTATCAGTTGCATGAATTGGCTTTAAATTAATCTCTTTATGAACTATTTTCTGACCAGATTCCCCTTCCCGCCAAGTGGTGTTGCTTTTGCTTGGGTGTATAACTGAGGTATAACTGAGGTTAACTGAGGTTACCTTAGTAGTCGATAATATGTGATGTATTGTTAATGTGGACAACATATTTACTTCATTTTCTTATATCTAAAAATTGAGGTCGAGTTATTTGTTTCGAAGGAATTTCGGCCGACTCTAAGATAAAACTAGAACGTTTATCGTAAATTATGCAAGTTTTATGAAGATTTTAGCCAACTATACTAAATTAAACTTAAAGAGTTCTCAACAAATGAATATCACATCAGAAGGGCCATTCTCATTCGTCAGCATGCGATGGGGTCCAAGCACTAAAAGTTGATCAGGTACACAGATCAGGTATATAGTGGTACCAGCCTACCCCGCCATAGCCTGGATTTTTCATGGTGTGGATTCAGCTTCTGATGGGAATGTAGGGAAAGAAGTTCTCAGAAAAATTATTAGAAAGCGATGAGAAATGAAAATTGCTACAATTGCTGCAAGTTGTAACGTCAATTTTGAATATTTCCAGAAAAAGCTCCGGAAATTTCTTCGATAAAAATGTTTTTAAGGTATGTGTTATGCCATTGCCGATTATGTGCAGAAGCCCCGGTTAGTTTTCAATAATAAGTCAGCTTCTCAGGAATAATTCTATTCAGTTGTTCATCGTTATCCTTATATGGGTTATGGATTAAGTGGGGAAAAACACCCGGAAGTTTAAAAAATGATTCAGGTTTGACACATATTGCAGTAAAAATTACAATAAAATTAACACAAAGCTGTAAGAAAAGGAATGATTATAATATTAAATTTATTGAATAAACGTTCTAAACAAGGGATAATTACACAATCAGTGAAAATAAATTGCTTTACGGTCTTCCTCTTCTGGCTGGTAAATCCGGTGTATCGATGGCAAAAATGAGGGAGGAAAACGCTGGTCCGTCAACAGGACCCCGCAAAACATGTCCTAACATTCTCCACCTTTTCGGTCCACCTTTTCTGACAATGGTTAAGCATTGCACTGAAATTAAACGCTGCGATGATTGCAGCGTTTAATTTTATACAAGTTTTTGTCGGAGATGACTCCTGGGTACTTTATATTCAAAGCATTTAGTTTCTTGAGGAATAAGGAATAGTTTGAGGACTGCCCAGCAGGATGAGTTGAAGTTGAACATAAGAACCGATACGACTAAAGCATTGTACAGTATTAGACGTTTGTTTAGAGGCAGTTTGTCACTCCATGCCTTCTAGTTCTTATAGTCGTTGAAAGCAGCATATCTGGAAGCCGAGTCATGGGCATACTAACAGGGAGCTACCTTACTTAACATTACTAGATAACCTGAAAGCAGAAACTGGGCTGAAGTCAGTAGATGTGATAGCTAGACTGATGGAGGACAGAAAGCTGTGGAGAACACTACCCGCCTAAAGTCAAGTCAAGTAAGTCATATCCCATGTTTTATACGACACTGAATATCAGCTTTGCCACACACGACAGATCCTAGAGTGAATGAAATAACTTTTATATATAAAAGTATATATATATGAAAAAATATATATATATATTTTTTCATGGGAGGATTCTGGAATTTTCGGAATCCGACGGCCGACCCCCTGTTCACACTGCACGTGCTTAACATAGTTTAAAGTTTCCAGCTCTCATGCTTTTAAGAATTTTCACTCCAGGGTTTGTCTTTCCCTTTTTTAACCATGTAGTATTATTGTGGGTTGGTGCATTATCATTGCTTTACACTCATACAGGATAGAATTACGTTGCTGCATTATGATTAGATGGTAAAGGTTGAAATTGCGGATGTTTGTTGATGTGTATTTTATTTTAAACATTTTTATGTTGACCTAAGTCGTATAAATCATTTATTTCAATTTTTCATCGTACCGATTTGTCTGATTGAACAAAAATTATCTTTGTAAATGAACTAAAAAAGTAAATACGGCCACACTCATGATTCTTCATAACTTACATTCGTTAATCGTAAGCCATTTCAACGGTATCAATGGAAGAAGAACTACAAACTATAGCTCTATAGCTGGATTCATTCCATAGCATTAGCAACGCTTCACACAATTTAGTGGAATTATACTGATACATTCGACCAATTGTTTAGCTTTCATTTTTGTAATTGAACCTAAAAATTAAAATGAGTACAGATATAAAGACAATTATTGCTTTTTAAAATTTAAAAAAAAAGTTTGCTGCCTGTTAGCTGTGAACAGACCTAATCCTATCTCCCGTGCAAGGGTATCTGTCCTTGCTACCGTAGTCGAATCGCTGCCCTAATGTAGGTCTGATAATTATTTTGTCAGCAGGATATGATTGGAATCTGGCATCTGAAATTGTGGGAGTCGCCTGTGAGTCCTGAGGACCAATTGTCGAACTACTTGCGAAGCTCAATCGCTTTTAGTCTCTTTCTGCTTAAACAACCGCTTGTGCAGAGACTTAGAGTTACGTATCAAGGTTGACTTTGTGATCATTCTGTATTCTTGTCCTACATCTTCATCTAGAATAACGGGGTCCGAGTATAACTTTACCAGCGATACGAAGTGAAGGTTCTTTCTCTTGGCATATCGTGTACGTAGCCTATCGAGAAGGGTTCGAGAAAGTGGCGAGTCTATCTCAGATCTCTTCTAGCCTGCTGTCAATAAACTAAATAATCACTTCTGCTTGAGCGAGCATGCTTCCTCTTTTACAAAAAAACTCAGTTACAATCTTGAACGGTGCGAGAGCTAACTCAGTCTCTTCTACATTCAGTTTTAGATTGCCTAGCTCCAAGTCATCTAAACGTCCGTGCACTGCATCAGTTATCTGGTCATATCTCTCCAACATACTGCACAGCGAGCTCCAACGGGTTTTTTAGTCTCGTTGCAGTGTGAGTTCCTTTCCGTGCTTCAACAAACAACAATAACTTCGTCTGACCAGTGACCATACAACCTTCATCTTACTAGATGCGAAAAAAAACCATCACACTGCAAATTATGCTAGTACTGGGAAACAAATTCGAAAAGTATGTTAAATGTTGGCCAATTTACCCTACTAAAAATGTGTCGATTATCGCGATAATTCTCGAAAATTATCGCGATAATCGATAACGATTTTTGGGAAATTATCGCCGATAATATCGGTTGGCAACCCTATATCATATATTAATGCATTTCATACAAGGTATTCATGTTATGTAGCCTGGGTTTGGACAGGCTGTTATTTAAGACTCCCAAAAGCTGCTGTTATGGGCGTCGTTTTGTTGGTTGAAGTTGGAAACGGCCTATTTTGGCGACTTAGTATAGTTCTGTCGTCCCACTCTGTGGATTCTTCTATATAATACATAATACACATACATATATATATATAATATATATGTATTATACTTATAGGGTTGGGGTCAGAGGAGAGTTTAATTTGTCCGTCAGAGCCACATAGAAACCGTATTAAAGTTAGTCACGTGATACTGATAGTCACGTGTAGCTTGATTAATGATTAATCATCATCGACATTATCCTTAGTCTATGACTGAGTCTGAAGGTTCCCAGCACAATTCACAAACGTATTAACTATGAGCCATCTGTTGGATTTGTCTGCGACAACGCTCATTATAAATATAAACATATTATTATTTATTATGGCCAGCAGACTTTTTCATTAGGACGCTAAAATAGAGCTGATAGGTACCTGCATGACATAATATTTCGATTCTTTGTAGTCTTATTTGTGATGATCAGCTGATAGCAATCATTTATCTTTAGTAATTATAATATTGATAATAGCTTTTCAATCACCAAAAAGCTATACAATATGATATGTATTACTATGTTCAAGTCGATGAGATACTAAGTTACTATGGTATGCGTAACTCTATTTTGTAGTTTATAGTCTTATCTGCAATACCAATCGTTAATTTTTAGTAATATTGATAATAGCTTTTTAATCACGACACAATCTTACAATAGATTTTTCTTACAAAAGCATTATATCTTACAATAGATGTATTATCAAGTCGACGAGATACAATGATATGCGTAGTTTAATCCGATACACGCAATTGTGTAACCCAACGTATAAATCACACAGCTTCTTGTGAAATTACACGATCATGATAATATGCACACAATATTCAGTATGCACCGTGCATGAGCCCTATAGTTGCAGTTTTCGTTCAATTTGGGACGCTAATCAGGTCATAAGCTGGTCGTCGGCTTTGAATAGCTCAAAGTTAAGATAATATATATTATGCACAAAGTCATATTCAGATGCAATGGAATTATGGAATCGTAAAGTACCGCCGACTACCATGAGCGGGTCTGATTATACACTACCTGATGAAGCAGTTATACTATATACTACTCGTTTAAAGAACCAACAAGTCAGACCAACAGATGTTTGTTCCGATCAGACCTTTCAATGTGGTACTGTTAAGAGCATAATATGGTTATCTGATGCGAGCCTTGTTAGTTGTTTGTTCTTGCAAAATAACAATTTCCTGTGACATAATCTGAGTAAACTTGTACTGATTCGTCGTCATATCATTATACGATATCCTCCCATATAATATGCATAGCATGGTTCCCTCATATCATTATACGATATCCTCCCATATAATATGCAGAGCATGGTTCCCTCATATCATTATACGATATCCTCCCATATAATATGCAGAGCATGGTTCCCTCAGAAATGGGATTGTATCGTACGAAATAACACACCGCACACGTGTGACGTGTGTCATCATAAATTCATGCTCTCATGAAACCACCTTTTTTATCAGTTTGTCAATTTATACACATGTTTGCATCTGTGAGTGTACTTGTTTATTATTTAGCTGCGTCACTACTCTACAACTACCTTTTAAACTGTTTGAATTTGATCACACAGCACACACTCTACTCGCACATTTGTAACATTTGATGAGTGAATAATAATATTCAATTGGATGGTATCTTACTATATATAAAGCGAGACGATATACAGGGTGGCCCATGAAAGTCTACCCATCCTTATCTCTTAAAATTGTTACAGGTCGCTGAGATCTTGCTAATTATTTTATTTCAGAATGGAAAAGCGCCATAACTTACGTTCTGATTAATATTTTTGCTTCAAATTTTTAGAGAATGTCAATCATAATTAGACAC